ATTTCGTAGATAATTTGAATCATTTTTCAGATAATTTTGAAATTTTAATTTTTTGTATGCATTTGAATTTTCTTTAGCTATCACCTTTTAATAATGAGCTATAAGGAAAAAGTGTAACTTTAAAGCTTTAGTATAAAAGGGAAAGTCTAAAAGTAGTTTATGACGTTTGGAATAGTATTTGGAAAAATATTAAGAAATAATAATAAAAAATAGTTTATCATTCTGCATTCTTCATAATATATGTTAATATATTTTTGTAGAGTGTTTTGTGGATTTTGATAAATTTGAAATATTTGTGGTTATGGCAAATACTTACGATTTTTGCATGGACGTGCCATCCTCGTCGTAACTAAAAGTATATGAGAATGATGAGAAATGAAGAAAGTGTTAGTAGTGATATATGTATGAGCAAATACATACTTAAAAATATTATTTATTTTTTCATAGCAAACAAGTTCAAATAAAATTAAAAATTAAATAAAAAAAAAAACACAAAAAACAAAAAACAACAGAAAGACTAGCGCTTACAAGCTACAAGCGTGGCACTTTTAATAAAATTACTTTAATACTAAATACATACAAACATGTAGGAATTATGTGGCGGTGTAGTGTGTGAACAAAAGTGGGTTTAAAAAATTATTTTCAATATTTACTTTAATAAAATAAAATATATACATATATATGTATATAAAAAAATTAAATTAACCTCAAAATTGTTTAGCACACAAACACTTAAAACTATATTTTTTAAACCCACTTTTTATCACTTTTTATGGTCAACTTTAATTTACCTATCATTTCGCATATCCACAGTATCCACTGACATATCAATAATGGCATGTGGATCCGCTGTTTGCTCTTGTTGTTGCTGTKGTGTATTGTTTATGTGTGWWTCTARGGGTGAAAGTGGGCTAGTGTCTGAGGTGATCGTATTCAAATCGGTAACATTCGTTATACTATGTGGTAATGGTCGTGTATTCGTTTCATTTTGAGTGTCAATCGATGCCGACTCGATCGAGCCAGCGAGTTGCGCATTTTCAGCACTAATGCAGTAATGTAGTATATAAACGGTGTAGTATAAAAACGGTAAACATAAAGACATTCATAAAATACGAATAAAAAATAATAATGCACGTAAAACGTTGTAATTTTTTTTATTTTTATTTTGTTGTGGTGATGGAGGCAACGTGTTGGTGGCGATTGGTGATGAACATGGAAAGTTGCGGCGCGACGCAGAGTATATGTGGTGGCACAAACGAAACAAATATGCAGGTATATGCAAAAAAAAGAACAAGAACAAAATAATAGAAATAAATAAATAACGAAAAAATTTAAATAACTGTATTKAAATGAATATAGGTTAGGTTAGGTTAGTCTGGTAGGCCAATGAGCCACGCATAGACCAGTTTTGGTCCTTTGCAATACCAGATGAATTAATAATTAAATTAATATAATATA